GAAGTCACCTGAGAAACAAGAAAAGGGGGATTAGTGTTAATGGGGGAAGGGAGGCGAGAAGAATAGGATCTGACAGGTGGGAAAGCCTTCAGAGAAAGTGACATTCGATGTATAAATAGAGAAGACATGAAAGGGAGGTCGGAGCTGGTGCTCATTTCCTTCTGTGTGGTGCCGTGTCACATATAGAAATGTTTTGATATTTGCAACCAGAGTAAAACAAAGATTTGTATTTTTGATATTTATTTTGTATATTTAAATGCCATTTAACAAGGAAAAATGGAGCCCAGGGAAGGCTTGTGCACTGCATTCCAGGCCCAGACTATGTATTGTCTGTCCACCTGTCCACCTGTCCACCTGTTCTCGACTTGACTGGACAAAACGACTCCTGGAAAAGAGGCCGCTGGGGAGGAAAGTGTGTGAGGGAGAGACCAGGAGTCCTGGGGAGAGGCTGCCCTGTGTCATGCGGGGTCATGTGACTGTTGAGGGTGTTTGTGTTTCCCCTGGGAGGGTTGGGGACTGCTTGACAAGGCTCAGAGACTCTCTCTGTCTTTTCCTTTAAATCATTTAAATCCTGGGTAAGCTCCTGCCCTAAACAGTTTGGCTCAGTGGGTAGAGCGTCAGCCCGCAGACTGAAGGGTCCCGGGTTTGATGCCGGTCAAGGGCATGTATCTTGGTTGTGGGCTCCATCACCAGTGGGGGGTGTGCAGGAGGCAGTGACAGGTGCTTCTCTCTCATCGATGTTTCTTTATATCCCTCTCCCTTCCTCTCTGTAAGAAATAAATAAAAAATATATTTTAAAAAAAAGAGATGTGCACACGGTCACATGGCGAAAGAGTGGCAGAGTCAGGGGCTGAACTGTTTTCCTTTTTCTCCAGAGGTTGTGTTCCTTCCGGGCTGGACCCTGGACATTCCGGTTTCCCTCCCCCGCTGGCCTCGGCCCTCGGGGCTCAGCTTCCTCCACTCACTGCGCTTCCCACTCCTGCTGCCCAGAACCCTGGCCCCAAGGTGTCAAGGTCAGGTGTTCTGTGGCCAGCCCGTTGGGTGCGCCCTGCTGGGCTTTTTCTTGTTAGTCCTCACCCAAGGATATTTTTCCATTGGTTTTTTTTAAAAAAAATTTTTGAGAAACTTAACACTTTAATAGATGAAATAAATACTCCAGTACGTGCAAGGTACAAACTTGACATGGGGCGGGGGGCCGCGGGGGATCGCTCTAGGGTAAATCAGAAAAACACACACACACTCACAGCTTTTCCCCCGTTTGCAAATCACATGGCACAGTCAGACTCCACACCAAGTCTGCGCCTAATCCAACTGAGAAAATTAACAACATGCAGAAAAGGAAGCTACGTCCATGTCTAAGGGGAACTGAAGTGACCTTTTTATTAGGAAAAAAAGGACCAAAAAAGAAATGGACCCATGACCTCCTTCCTGCCCAATTAATTCATGAGGTTGGGGTGAGGGACTCCTGAGAGGAGCTGGGGGGCAGGGTAACCCCCATCTCCAGGCCCCACAGTGTGGGCTGCGGGGTGTGAAAATCGGGTGCATGGCCCCGGCTTCTGGAAGATTCCTCTCGAGCATCTAACATGGGGGGTTGGGAGCTTCACCTCCGATTTCTTTGGTATAAATTGAGGGGCGGACAGTAAGCACCTTCCTTCATTGGGGGGCGGGGCGCTAGTCACAGAATTGGAATTCACGGGCGGTTCAGTCCTGCGCGAAGACCGCGCCCTCAAAGCCTGCGACGGCGGGTGCAGCCTCCAGACACGGCGGGCGCAGGCCGAGTGCT